GAGGTAGGTCTGTGGTTCTCTCAGAAAAGCAGAATAAATTTAAGTACCTAAGCCTACTCTTTTTTTTCTACGAGATCCCATGTGTCTCGTAGAGACATGTGTGTGTGAGGAAGCTCATGCTAATAAGTGCATTTTGCCTTTTCCAGCCCACAGGATTTCAGTGAGTCCTTCATCATCTCTTTACCTATGCATGCGTAATTTTGACATGCCAGCAGTTTTTGTTAGATGTCAAAGAGAAATTGTCCTATGTCTCTTCATTTGCAACATGGGCCAGGTTGAGACATAAGTGTGGGAACTCCTCTCCTTGAGGAAGCTTTCTGGATGTGCACTTCAGTCTGTGAGTATTAAATGGAGTGTCAAAAGCAAGGAAAAGCATTTATGGTCTGATGTATGGTGGGAAGTATGGCAAGAGGGAAAATGTGCAGTTCTACAGCTGCTACAGCTTGACATATCCTAAACTTTTTTGGGGGAGTTTAATTTGGTTGGAATAGAAGCTATATTTCCAGAGATTATCACAGTAAAGTACTGTACCTTTAGGCAGTTGATCCATCCTAAACTCTGCCAAAACTACTCTAATTTTATTTCTGTAGCACTCAAAAAGGCATTTCAAACTCTGAGCACTTTGCAGATTTTATGCATGATTAAAGTTTAAAACAGTGAGTGTTCTGAGATATATATATATTCGTAGGTATAAATAGGTAGGTACATAGACACATAGACATGCAACCACTGTAGCACCACTACAGCTCATTTATTAAGTCATGAAACTGCTACATTTTCTATAAAGTGAGATAGCTGAAAGATTCAGCAATAAAGCAGAAAATAGTATAGTTGTAAAAAATAATACAGCGAAGCCCATTTAAATGAAACCATAGATGAAGTGAACTTATGTCACCAGTCTTTGAATTTTGTACGTTTTGAACAGCATCCAAAAATTATAATCCACTGTTTGAAATGGAGAAGGAGAAATGGTCTCCCCATCACAAACTTACAGCCGCAAATGCTCGCATCCTACTGTAAATATATCACATACTGTATCATATTGCTTATGGAAAATGACATTTCTTGCTTTTAATTTTCTAACCCTTTTGCTGAAGTTCAGTGTTTGGCAATGTCAAGACTGTAATTGTTCCTTTCCATTTTGCTCTGCAGGAAATATGTTTTCTCTGATCTAAAATATACTATTTTATATTTCCATGTTCATCATGATCTGTATATAAAAATAATGTAACCCAATGCACCTTGAGGATCACAGGACTGTATGTATGCCTGTGGTTTCCTAGTCTCTAAATTATACTGTTTTTGTTTAGTGCAATGCTGCACTTAATAACAATTTTTTACATTTATAATATGCTGCTTGGACGGACCAGAAATGTTGTGCCTAAAGCCATAAAAATAATAGTGAAAATACATAATCAAAGATTCAGGCTAGTTTGACTTTACTGATAGCCAGATTAAGTACCAGCATAAAGAAAAATCACTGTCATTAGAACTGATCTGAATATTGTTCTGAATGAGTGCCAGCAAATACTCAGCACCTTCAAGGTTGCGACTTTCAGGTATTTAGGACACAATTTCTCTAACAAAAAACTATATTAGGTCATAATTATTTTCTGATGTCTTTTGAAAATATAAAATCAAAACCTTACTCCAAGATTTTCTTATTTTATATTCAGTTTTTGATCCGTGGTGAAGTAAGGAAAGCAGTTGGATTTCCAGAGAGCAGACTTTAGCATCTTATCTCACCTGTCTAACAGATTCTCCTGGGATGCAGTTTGGAAAGGCAAAAGAGTCAGAAAGGTTGGGCATTCTTCAACAACAAAATTTCAAAGGCAGGGGACCAGGCCTTATCAACACACTCAAAGTCAAGCTGGTGTGAGAGAAAACCAGTATGGCTGAACAGAGAGAGCTTCGGGAATTTGGGAAGAGAGCTTAGGGACTCTGGAAAAATAGACAGGGCACATAAATCATACATCAACAGGAAAAGGAGAACGTGAAGTACTTTATCTATCTATCTATCTATCTATCTATCTATCTATCTATCTATCTATTTACTTTCCCATAGTCTTTATTAGTAATGTCAGTTGTTTCCAGAGTAGCCAGCATCCTGTGTTGGAAGACACTGACAAGAAGTGAAATGGATCAGAAGGTGGGCACTGGGAAGAAACTTCCCTCCTACTGTAAATGAAGATCCAGGTTCACGACCACCTGAAGAACCTGAACATCCATAAAATGCATCCCAAAGTCCTGAGGGAAGTGGCTGCTGTAGTTGCAAACCACTCTCAATGATACTTGAAAAGCCATGGCAGTCAGGTGAAGTCCCTGGTGACTGGAAAAGCAATGTCACGCCGAATTTTAAGAAGGGTGGAATGGATGATCCAGGGAACTACTGCCATCTGTCAGCCGCACCTATGTGCTAGGGAAGATCATGAGTTGTTTGAGCACACGTTGAGAAGAGCATCAAAGCTGGAAAAGGGACTAGAAAGGAAGACTTATGCGGAGTGACTGAGGAATTGGGGTTGTTTAGTCCAGAAAAAAAGTAACCTGAGGGGAAACCTCATTAATCCCTACAACTACCCAAAAGGGGGCTGTGTGTTTTGGAGTGCATCAGTCTCTTTTCTCAGGTGCCAGGTGAGAGGACACAAGGAAGCAGTCTCAAATCGCACTAGGGCAGATTTAGATTGAGTGTGAGGAAGAATTCCTTACTGGAGAGGGAGGTCAAAAATGAGAATCAGCTGCCTTGGGAAGTGCATAGTCTCCATTCCTGGGTGTACTGAAGAGATACATGGACACAACACTAAAGAACATGGTTTATAGATGGGACTTTATAGGTCAGGTTTATCTTAATGATCAAAATGGTCTCTTTCAACCTAAGTGAATTTGCAGCTCTATAATACTCCAGAAATACTCCACAGGTTAGGATCTTCAAGTATTTGGACCCAATTTCTGTAACAAAATACTTCATTTGTTTGACATTTTCTGGTGCATTTTGAATATATAAAATCAAAGCTTTAAAGTTTTCTTCTTTTGTTCTGCTGTGTTACAACAGGACTGTTCATTTGTAACATAAGAAAGACAAAGCATTTGTTTCATTTCTCTTTTCAGCACTCTTTTCAGCAAGTGTCTTTTTACTATGCTTTTTTTCAGTCAGGAAAAAACACTGCTATTTAAGTGGCTTGCAAAGCATTTATTCACTCTTGTGAATGGCAGGACACAGGAAACTCATAATGAATGCCTTCAGCCGTAAACTTCTAAAGTACGTTTCTGTTCCCTATACTTGTGACCTATCAAAAAAGCTGTTCTAATTCTGTGCAATTTTGACCTCATCGTCCCTCTGATTTATTAGTTGTGTATTCTCTTGTAGCTATTAATGCCACTCCTACAATGTTAAAATTTGGTATTTACTTCTCAAAGCCTGTTACACTTCATCAGCACCTGGTAATTATTACGTTTCATATAGTTATGAGATAGCAAATGGAGGAGGGTGTCCGATGTAAGCAAATGGGAAGTCTGGCAGCAAAATGAAAGAACACAAACAGGACACAAAAACTGCAAAGCCAGAATATTTGTTAGCCAAGGAAGATATATAGAATGAGAGTTGTGGTTTTGACCTGGGGGGAAACCAAAACAAAATAAATAATACTACTCTAAGTTATTATATTAATTAAAGTGGTAATTGAAATTAAAAGGTTTCATAACTCTTCACTGTGCATAAATAAACCTGAAAGGTAATATGCATTCATATTTCATACATTTGCCTAGATATTTGGAAGAGATTCTGCATTTAGCATGGATGGGTTTTTGTAATTTTACCCTAGAAGTGTTCTAGCCAACAGAAATGAAATATGGATGTCTGAAGAGAAAGGTATGACCTTATTCAAACACATGCACCTTCTCTTCTTCAGGCTACTGAAGCCAGGCTCAAGCAGGCCATCACTTGTGCTCGAGGTGGCTATGGGTAAAACATAAATTCACTTAGAGCATTTTTTTTTTTTTTGCCCCACATAGTACATTGCCTTTCTGTTCTATTTCTTTTCCACAACACCTTTCTTCCATCACTACTCACGTCCATTTAATTTGCTCCCTTCTTGACAACACAACAGTTTTAGCCTGTTGTACAGCTTCTTTTATCTGGTTTGATCCAAACGAACTGCTTAAGCCACAGAAAGCAATCATTTTCTCCTACAATATGAACATCTCTTCCGGTCATGTTCTGTATAGAGAAGAAAAAGCTTTTTAATGCATTCCTGTCAGCTCATTTCTCCATCCTGAGCTTCCTCTGGATAGCAGTGCAACCATCTGATACAAGAGCCACTCCTTCCAGTTTCATGCCATCTGTACTGATATTATGCTTGATGTGCATCTACTATATACATGGTTCTATTATATTTTGTTTTAGTGATACTTCTCATGACATATGAAATCATTCTCTTCATGAATTTTCATAGAAAAGTTATGCTTAGTCCCTAAATTCTAGTACTTTTAATACCCCCTAACAAGGGTTCCATTCTCACTAAAAATGTGGTTCAGCATGAGGCAAACACAAAAAATATATAAATTTCTATTAATGGTCAGTAAAAATTGCTTTGTACTAAAGCTGATCAGCTCTCAGGAGTTATTTCACAGGATGACAATGAAAGGCTACTTTTGCCTACTGTACAAACATGCAAAAGACAAATTTGTTTCTTAGCATTGCTGAAAATCTGTTTCTAGCAATTAATGCTCTTTAATGCTTTTCTCAACACCCTGATTTGTCAGAATATCATCCACGGTGTAATTTACAGCACATGCATATCTGCTTCCTAGTTCTCACAACCTGTGCATCAAACAATTGTCATTATTAACAAGATTAAATTGGCATAGGAAAAAATATGGATACTTTTATAGGGAGACATTTACATCTGTGAGGGTCTTTAAAAACTGGTTTCCACAATAGTTAGTGCTTGGATCCTTTTTCTTTCACTAGAAAGTTTAATTCTGCTCAGTTGCTGTAATCAGAACATTTGTTTATCAGCTTTTTCAATTTGTTTTGAAATTTCAGAAGGATACTATCCCACAGAGGATGGCAAACCTTATTTCTTCAGGTCAGTATCTTTTATTTTTTTTTTATCTGAAGAGAGCAAAGAGTCCCAAACCTCTTACTTTCTCTATCTCTCTCTTTTTTGGTTTTGTTTTGTTCTCTTTTGTGCAGTTCAAAGAAAACATTTATATTTTTCACTTTGGATAGTGAGTAGAATTTGTCATTGCACTTTGTACTTCTGCTCAATGTCAATTATGATTTGTAAATTACAGCTGAGTTAAAACCACAATTTTGTATATGGTTTCAGCATTCTCTCAGAGTCTGGGGAGTGCTCAGTTTGGGTTCTGTTTATTTTTTAAATAAATAATATTCCTATGTAGCACATTTCAACAGCAAATCAAAGCTTAAGGAGTCATTACGCTAACTCTGTGCATGGGAAAATAAGAAATATGCCTGTCCAAGTCCAGTAAGAACTTTGTTGGTAACTCTGTAACAACTCTGACCACCTAGAGTATCAGTCTAGAGAAACTACCTGTCTTCAGTGATAAGCTCCTGTGCTCAGTTCTGATGAACCTCAAAATTTGAAGATTAATCTGAACAATTCTCATCATTTTGCACAAAAGTCCTGAAAAAATATGCCTTTTATCTGAGGAAAAGAAGAACACTGAGTTGTCTTGCAAGGCAGGTGCATCCTGAAATTAATATGTTCAATCAGATTTGGCTTGATAATAGCTCCACATTTTGATTCCGCCTCCTCTCCTCCCCCCCCAAATAAATAAATAAATAAATAAATAAATAAATAAATAAATAAATAAATAAATAAATAAATAAATAAGCAAACATTCCTGAGGCAAAATTTTTCTTTAAATCCATTGATGTGTTTCAAACCAGACCACAATAATTTTTTTTCTAACAGTCTTCCAGATTTTCTTGACCACCCTAATTTTCTCAGCGCAATTAAGAGAAACAAGTTAAGGATTTCTTTCTTGAAGGCAACATTTATCTTGGGACATCCAGATATAGTATTCTACATGTTGCCCAGTTTTCTAAGAAGTGCTGTTCTGAGAATGAGATTGCACAGCATTTCAGCTGTCTTTGGATTGTACAGTAGATGCACAACAGTTCCTAATGTTAATGGTTTCAAATCTACTACCATGGTAAACATTTAAATCTACTACCATGCTAAGCCTTTGTGGAATTGCAGTGACACTCTTTAATTGAAGAGGAATTGGTATTTTGTGTGTGTGGATGTGCAAAACCAGTAAGTTTTAAATGAGAACAGAATTAGACAGATAATTTACTTTGCTTTCCAAATTTATAGGATCACAAAATTGTGTCTAGCAGCAAACTGATAGGACTAGAGTAAATTATTTAACATTTACTCCTTATATCTATTTTAAAGTATTTTTCACCTATTAAAAAATGCATGTTCAGGAGACTTTTTGATAGGTGATGAAAATGAGAGATGGAGTATGGATTAAATTATGGCCATGGACTTGGCAATTCGCACAAACCACAAGTTCTTTTTAGACGTAAAACTGGTGGTCACTTTCAAGTATATGAAGACATAAATAAAAAATAGGCTGAAAAATATTTCTACTCTATCCACATGTTTATTTACTGTGCTGAAGACCTGTGTTTGTGGGCAAAGGTAAGATTTTACAAAATTATGAGCTCAAGATTCACTTGGTTTTGTATACACTCACTTATACCTGGCTTTCTCAACAAATTTCTCCTTCTAGAAAAATGTATCAAATTTAAACTGGTCAAAGAAGCTTAAATTTCAAAATGTTTTTATCTTCTTATGTAAAGTATAAATATGCTCCAGATTATGATACTGTAAGCTATGCATGCAAACAGAATTTGTGCAAATATTTAAACATATATCTGATCTATCTTCTTCATGTTTATATCATTTGTTCAAAGCCAGAACAATCAAAAAGTGATTTGGAAATATAATTGCATGGTAAGGATGTTTTAAAAGTACCCAGCAACTTATGCTGGGAGTGTATCTTGAGCTTTCAAGAAAAAATATACAATCCAAACAACTGTAATGACAATTGTACCCTTCAGAATTTAAACTGTGATCTGATAGCTAAGATTTCTCACATGCCACTGTAATAATAGTTTGCAAAACAAATTCTATCCTGATTCTTATTTCTGCAGGTACTTAAGGCTTTTGTTTGCTTATATATTCCTACTGGGAATTTTTATGAAATTAGAAAGAAGAGAATCCACACTTTTTTGTCAAGTTTCATGATCCTGCATGGTTGGTGGAAGCTACAAAACATTGCTATCTGTCCCTAATGTAAGGCAGTGTGAGCCTGGATGTACCAAATAAGCACATTTATTGACGATAAAAGCACAAATATCACAGTTATTTTTCAGAAGGATATCAACATTATACTATTTTTTTTTTTTAAAGAAATAAACAAAAACAAAGCAGACAAAAAATGACCTGTATGTATGTGAATAGTACTATAAATAATACATTTGGAATGAAACATCCACGGATGTCAAAACATAGCAATAGACTTTCTAATACGGTTGCCAATGAAAACACTTGCTGGAGTATTTTCACTGGCAGACAAGCAGCTCCTTATATGTCATTATGAGCCTAATTTCTTCTCTAAAATTCTGCACAATTAGAATGCACATTGCAGTCTAAGATGAAATCAAGAATTTGCTTTGTAATTTTACTGTGGATGGATTTGAATCAAAAGTTTGGATAAAGTTCTAACCTTTTTCAAATCTTAGGGCATTTGGATCTGGTATTGTGGTAGTTATGAACTTGAGTGTGGTCAATGGAGACATTCTTATGAGGTCATACAGGAGTTGGATCAGGTTCGCAGTGTAATGTAAATGGACAGTGGTGCACAGTATCGTAACTGCAAAATCATAAATTGTAGGATTTTACAAGGAAAAAGTATTAGCACTTAGATACTCAGCTTAAAGTGTAAAGCTGAAGAATTATGTTTATAATTGGTACCATCAACAGGAAAATAGCCAGTATCAAACGATTGGAGAATTTGGACTTTAATTGCTTGATACGTCAGCAGGGTGTAAAATAAAATATTGAAGAAAAAAAGTTAATTTAGTCATTATATTAATTTATTTTTTATACAAAATGCATCAATCTTTTATTTTCAGATATAAATGATTTGACATGTGCTTTATTAAAGTCTTGTAACAATTATTTCCTCTTAAAGATTTTTTTTTTTCTTAGTCAGTTGAAAAAATAATAGCACAATATACAAAATTTGCTCAGAATAAAATTTATATTGCCTTTTCTCCAGTTAAGAAAACTATCCAAATTAATTTCAATCACATTTTATCCAACGGAAACCAAACAGCAACACAAATCTCTGAAGATAAATTGTACAGTTTAAATAGTAGTGAGTCTAGAGCCCAGTTAATAAGCTCTGTCAAAGGGGATTTCATAGTGGAAAAAGTAGAATCATTTGTATATGTGTGTGCATATAGGATTATTAACCAGCTGCACAGAGCTAGGTAGCTAGTAGTTACATAAACCAAATAAGATTTTCATCCACAGTTTCCACAGACATACATGCAGCTGAAGATCTGTACTCTTATTTTTCTACCTATTCTGTATGTCACAGACTGCCCTCAGTTTTTATCTGCAGCCTAGTGGTTCTGCTGAAAGTACAGCCAGGTATATTGTATTGTGCAAGTTTCCATAAAGGTTATTGTATTACAACATCTTGTTGTTCTGGGAATACCACTAAAGAAACATCATATAGAACTGGCACTAATAGTTCTGAAAATAAAATTACTTCCACAGAGGATATGTTAATAACAGAAACTGAGCATGTGTTGAAGGAAATAACTTCATGGGAACAAGTAAACAAATCCCTCTCACAACCTTTAAAGACTTACTTCATTTAACTAGTGAGATTCAGGCAGAATGACCATTAACTTTTCATTGGGTTGAATATTTTACATGCAAAAATAATGAAACACACTGTGATGATCCTATGAGGTGTTAAATACACACAGGTTGATGTAAATACTCAAATATGCTGCATTTTCATTCTTCTGCAAACTGCTCTAGGAATTCCCTGTTTCCCTTTCACAGTCCTCAAAATTTTGGAAATGTTAGAGAGAACACTTCTGTAAATGTCTTCTTTCTAGGTCTGATAAAAGTCATCCAATCTACAGGAGTTCTTTGACAAAGCAGTGAAATGCCAAGCAAAAGCTGGGCTATATTCAGATCAGCATACTATACCAAGAATGGATAATGTGTGGATCTGGGGAGAAAAATTACAAAGGATCTGTGTCTTCAATGACAGCACACAAAAATACTGGGTGAAGAAAAATGAACTGAAATTTATGCCACCACAAGTTTAAAAATATCTTTTCTTCTTCGTGAAATTCAAACCAAAACACTTAGAGTTTTGGGGTTGGACTCGATGATCTCTGGAGGTCCCTTCCAACCCCTACGATTCTGTGATTCTGTGATTCTGTGATAGAGACTGTCACCTGTCACATATTCAAAAACTGGGTTTAGCAGAGGTACTACAGCATCAGAATTCTGTCAAGTATCTGTGGAGATCAGTTTTTATGGACTGCTTACAGTGAAATGGCAGTTCACTGTCTACGGTCTTTCAGATTTCTCTTCTCATGAGAAGAATGTTAAGAACAACATTCGAAGTGATTTGATGACAAGACCGTTATCCCCTAGAGGATAATGGTCTTGTCCATTTTTTGATTCAGTCAGAATAAAAAAAACCACGAGCATATTTAATGATTGATACTGAGGGGATAATTCTGGATGCTCTTTTCACTGAGCAAGTTTTAAATCCAGAGATAAGTAGTCAAAGAGACCGTTTTGAGGTCTCTTTGAGGTTGAGAAAGACTCTCGTGGCACCACAAAGTATGAGCAACTGGGAGCTGAGGGTTACAGCACATCAGTACAAGAATCCCAAAAGCTATGCATCGATAAGGTTGTGTTTCTACATCCAGAACAGCCTGAATATAGGAAAGATGGAGATAGGCAAAATTCTGTAACTGATCAGATCCCATGGTTTAAAGGAAAGAGTTCCACAGGTGGGGAGCACCATTTGGTGCCCATCTTTCCCACAGCAGTGACCGTGGCTGGGGTGGGTTGTGAACGGTTAGGGATCTGAACACTCCAGATAAACTCAGCAACCATAAAACTAAGGGCACAGTGTATTGAACAGTGCACCCCCCACAGGGGAGCAATGGCAAGGTGTACCATGTGATGGCAGTGCTGATGCCAATGCCCTCAGTGCTCACAATCATCTCTAATGGAACAGTTATGTGCTGTGAGACACCAGGATCTTTTACAGGCTACCTTGTTAATTAAAAAAGAACTATTTGTTCCTAAAATGATATTAACTATAAATCAATCACTCTGTGGAAAGATTTGTCCTTATTGAAGAAAAAACTGTGGAAAATAACTTATGACGTGGCACTTGCTAAATGTATTCTCTCTACTGTGATAGCTTCTGTATTTGAATAAGACCTTGTGTCTTGATGCAACTACGAAGATATTGCTTTTGAAGTTAGGTAATAACTCATGAAAAATATGAACTGCATCCAAATTGAAATTATTGCTAAAAGCTAAATTACATAATGAAGTTATACAGCCTGGAGCCAGTTCCATCTGAGAGGTCTGGAAAGGGGCAAGGCTTATCTTGCATTCACCTCCCACCAGAGGCAAGAACTGAGAGTGCTTGACAAAGAGATCTTACTCAAAGTTATAAAAAAAAACAGTCCACTAGAGAAATACTGGTCTAGGTGTCTGTATAAAAGAAAGCCAATTGATGAATCCAGGGAAAAGCTTTCACAGAAAAGTCCCCACAACACAACAGCAGGAAAGGTGCAGAGATACAGTAGTAATAGCTGCAAAGAAAGCTGGAAAATTAAAAGTCATTTCCAGCCAAAACATAAAGGAAGAAGCATTAAAAGCCCAGAACTGCAAGAGAATAAATCATAGTGCTAGTCTGAAATGGACTTTTTCATTACACCAGAGCAAATTTTGGTCCTGTGAAAAAGAATACAGAAAACTTTTATTAATTTAACGGTGGCTTCAGATTTAGCATTAATCTGGCCTATAATGTCCTTCAGGAAGTGGCTGTACAGCATTTGCTGCCAAAATAGGTAATCCAGTAGTTTACAACTACTTCAGGGAAAACAAACAAACAAACAAACAAACAAAAACAGCCCCTTTTGCTGAATAGGTGTAATCTACCTCAGCCTCATTAGCATGTCATCTTGTCCCTTCCACCCCCTATGGCTGCAGCTCTGTAGGGGGAGCAGATTAATGTACTTCTCATGGAACCTGTTCCCTTCCTTCTCCCTGCTTTGTGTTTCCTGCATTTCACTTGCACTTACTGTGTGGGAGTAAAAACTTTCTCCATCTCTAAATATTCGTACATCTTTTTCTTATCATGGGACTCCATAACACTTTGAAGATGTAGTAACGTTTGCAAATTCACCAGGCTTTGACAACAAATATTGCGTTCCTATTTTGAAACAAATGCTACTCTGAAGTAAATGCTGTTCTTCCACCTTTTCTCAAGACAGGAAAATAGCTAGTGGCACTTTTCCTTTTGACCTTACCTTCCCGTTCCATGCCCTCAAAAAATGGTGCCCTAATTTAAACAGCATATTTTTTTACATATGAAAACAGGGTTTTGCTTTGGGAAAAAGTGTATTGGATGTATGCAGAACTTGGTGTCACTTCAAAATATATATATATATTTTTAATAATGAAATGTGAGGAAGGAAAGGAGAAACTATGCCAAGATCTGTCTTCCAGGTGACTCAGTAGCACATTCTCTTAGGCATGTCATATAAGGCAAAGGATGAGTTAAAGAACTCCCAAGAACTCTTGGGAGAAAGGTTTAAGGCCTAATACTTCTGTGCTCTCTGTGTTTTCTGAGTATTCGTAGGTAACACCTAGTTGGCTGTACCCCAAGTTACATCTCTGCTCTTAGGTAAGCAGAAGAGCTAACATACTCAGGCTGAAAAGGACAGTAATTATAATAACAACAACACTAATAGTTGTGAATTTTGCTAGTTCGGCTATTTGGTTACCTGGAATATATATAATATATTCAGCTTTTCCTGTATACCTCCTTTCATTTATAAAAGAATAAGTTAGCAATTGGCACGAATCTTCTCAAGGTTAGGGTGAATGTGACTTACACAACTCTTTAAGACCAATGAGCAGAGTCCTCTGATGCACAGATCATAATCTACAGTTGTTTCACATTTTCTGCTGAGTATGCAGTAAAAAATGTTGCGAATGTTGATGCAGTCATATTGACAAAGACCGTAAAATTCAGCCAGAGACATCTTCCAGGAACTGGACTAGACCTAGCCTAGCTCCTCTCATATCCATAACACAGACTATTAGGTGGATCATTCA